AAAATCTTCGGTCGATCATTGATCATTTTGCGATTAATTGTTCACATTGTTGTACTTGCTGATCTATTTTTCACATGAATTTATTTCTTCTCTTGATGTAGCTTTTGAGAAATCTCGTTGGTTTATTTTGTCAGGTCAGGTTTTGCAAGTATATAATGCACATAATAAAAAACAATTGTCAAAATAGTTGTGATTTTCAATCTCAAGCTTCAAGTACTATTTAATAGCACTTTTAATCACAAAATCATGATCACGATTTCACACACCTGTGGATCTAACAAATTCATTAGTTGTAAAATAATAATTTTGAAATTCTCTAGAAAGAACAATGCAAAATGTTCATATATTCGATCTGTCCTCGACCTAACAGTATGAACTGCATTTCGATGTTGTAACTCATACACTCCTTTTATTCCTTCCCTCTCTTTTTTTTTTATTCAAAGTTTCGTATCAGTTTCAGGGTATAGGAAATACAAATGACCCGAAGAGAAGTATCGCGCGATTGTATGTCGTGGAATGGAGTATCGTATGGAAATTCAATCCTTCGGATTGCAGTGCGAACCCAGCGAAGCATCAATGCTATCCAGGCATTCTAGTTGCATAGCGAGGTAAATAATCCGATCTACGTGGCAACAACTTCACCGTGCCCCAAGACTTTTCTCGTCGGGTGTTCCTCTAGGTGTCGAACCGAAAGCGAGCAAAATGACGTTCAATCAGATCAATTGTCGTGCTTCTCGTATCGATACTATATCGATGCTACGAAATGAAATTAAATCATCCACGATCGCAGAAAAAAATATGCGCAGGAAATTATGACGCAAAATAGAGAATTAAGGAATGTTTCGAGTCACTTAATTTCTAGATTGAAGATTTCTAGAAGAACAAAAAGACAACTAAAGGACCAGAGATTTGGATAGAAATTTGCTGTATATCTATTCAAAATTCTAATATAATATAATATATATTCCTGTGAATTCTAACGAATATATAATTATAATATAATTATATATATATATACATATTGTTATAATATATAATTTAACATATTTTTGTATTTTATGGATTTCTACACTTTTAAATTTCCTAGGTATATGACAATCCGCAGTTCTATCTAATGAAAGCTACGTTTTTCTTTAGCGAAGTATAATTTTAACACTAGAACCGATCAAAATAGTCAAAATAACGAATTAAATCAAATAAATCATCATCTTGACTCGTTATAATTGTTATATCTGGTAAAAATTCGGCCACTTTTACCAACTATAAATTTCTACCGATTATAAATTGAATGATAAAACGAACGATACTCCATAATGAAATTAAATATATATATTAAATATTCCAACATGATGTAAAACAAACTTTACCTAAACTTCTACTCATCCTTCAATCGTCAATATCAACCTAGTATCGATCTTTGACAAAATTTCCACGATTCACGACAACATCTTTAAGCATTCGTAACATACGTTCCTTGAGAGAGTCGAAAGAAGAAAAAAAACTGGTCGAGTATCGTTTATTTCCATCGAGAGGCACAAGTACTGTCATCAATCTTCATCAGCATTCTGAAATTCTATCGATCAAACAATCCGAACGTACAACGACATACGACGTAAAATAAATTATTAGTCCCCCATATGTATATATCATTATCGCACTCGTGTCATTTCGACATTTTTCTGTTTCTCTTCCACTTCGTTCCCTCACTACCTGCATTCACGGCCTTAACACCAACTTTCATTTTATTTTCTCCATCGAATCGGAAAATCACGCGTATGATAGATTAATTGCTTTATCTCGAGATTATACGTTTGTACATACGTGTGTAGCATCGGTATTATAATACGTAGTATGTGTTTAATGAAACGACGCGTACGAAAGATTCTGACTCGCGCGAAAAATCAGCCTCTTTGGGCGTGTATCTGAACAATAAATTTCTCGAAATTAATTAATCACGAAAGAGTGAATATTTTCAGGATGATAAATGTTCCAACAAGTGTTTGCGCTCCGAATGAATATCAGTGTTTCTATTCATCGCTCTTTCTTCGATTGTACTCTTGTTGTTAGAAGTTCGATTTAAGAAATTAAAAATGTAAATTTAACGTGTAGGTTTAAAGTAAACTTGAAATATTAGTCGTTTTACTATGACTCTGTGAAAATTGATTTAACCCTTAATTAATTGTGAATAACTCGAAAGTAATTAATGATTTATCATAATGTCATAAATATTTTAATTTTTACGCAATGATGAAAAACTTTAAACGAATCCTTGGAATTTTCTTTAAAGACTAACTAATTTGATAACAGAAATTAATTGGAAACAAAATTGTAATTAACGCAATGTTGGTCTTTAATGACTATCTCCGGGTAGTTCCAAATTTGTATTTTATGCTTCACGTGATCGTCAGTATCGTTTATTGCATAAAATATAAAGTATAAACTAAGCAATGTATATTCTAGAAAAATTTAAATTTAATCAAAACTATCCCGATCACTTATAACTAATTTAGTGTGAAATTTCATCTTTAACATTCAATATCGATTTTTAAATTCCACTTGATTATTGCAAATTTAATTTAAGAGATTATAATAGATAATTTAAATTTAATGGTCTATGGAGTTAAAAACTGAACTGAATTTTTCTATTGAACGTAGCAACAGCTTTCACTGTAACACCACGGAAAGAAGATTGCATAACGTTTCAACCTTGGCTACTTTTTTACGCGTGTGGCTCGGAAACAATTTATAGAATGATCACAAGACAGACGTTCGAAGCAGTGAATTTTTAGTTTCGTATCAACGCTTGAAAATTTCGTGGAATTTGCTTAAAACTAAGGAGCTTGCCATGTGGCGTTGTCAGGGAGCAACGAACCAGGGCATAAACAAATTTATTCACGCCGGCTTAGAGAGCTAAATTTAAAATTATTCGGCCTATGCTTTCGTTCAATGTTTCGATCGACGACGAGATACTAAAACTGAAGTACGTATGACAATTTCAAATGTGTGGCAAGTAAAACTGACTTTTCTCGAATTGATAAAAATTCTTTTCGTACCTTTTACGCAAGATACATTGCAACACAGAAAATATAATTTCAAATAGCAAAAATTTCAATTAAAAAACAACAACTTTTACTGTCTTCGTTACCAAGATCCTTGCGTCTGAGAACGAGAACGAGAGCTACTTCCACGCTAAATTAAGGATTAGCTAAGTAAGTCTCAATTGATCCTTAATTCACCATCGTGTGGAATCCATGGGAAACCACATGTTTCTCTTATATCGGGAAATAAAGTCGTTCTACTCTCGCCTTTATCGAGCAAAAAATGATAAACGTTATGTCCATCAAGTTTTTTGCCATCCCGTTATACAACCTTCTTTGTACCTATAAAAGCTAATGTTAGTTTTCGCTAATAGAGAATGACAAGAAGTTCAGATTAAGCGTTGTTAATGTTAAAGTATAGTAAAAATATTTTCATATTCTACAAAAACTAAATAGTTGTACGGATAAAAGATGTAATAAATTTTCCTCTGTTCTGACCTACAATTTTCCTGATTGTAAAAATGTTAAAGCGATACAATTTATATATAAAAACTCGACAGTATTATATATAAAACTCTGCATTCGATTTACAGATTATATCTTAATAGCAGTTTACTCAACAGTAAGATTATTTAATACCTACATTAAGTAAATAATATTAAGATTGCACGAATAACAATCACTGTTTATATGTAGATACCTTAAATTAAAATTAGAAGTTATACTTAAGAACATAGTTTGACTTGCAATATATAAAATTTATATTCTTATTTCTTATTTTAACTTTGACATTCACAGTACCTTATTGCTACAATATATTGTTACAATAATGATTCGCTTACAATTTCAAAACTATGTTATATGGTCTTATTGTATAACTTACATTTATAAAGTAATCTTAAACTGCATCGAATAATATATTATGCTAGTCGTGTCTGAGTCAAATTATTAGTAATAATTTACACTTAAAGAAAACACAAATGATTAAACATAAAAATCGAAGGCAGAAAATCATAAATATACTTTGAAACACGATTTTGAAATACAACGGAGTAAAAATGAACTAATGCTCCTTCGATACAATGTATAATAAGTAAAAAAATTCAAAAACTCTTACACACACTCACAGCATCATTACACTATAGTACACAATACTGTAGTTATGCATGCATTCACGAGGTCCAGTACATATCATGTTTTGTGTTGGGATGCAATTAAGGGGGGAGAGGGGGGAGGAGGGGAAGCAGCGAAAGAAGAAGATAGAAAACACGGTAGAAAGATACGGAACTAACACGAGTCGGGTTCCCGACGCCCACCTGATCATACAGCACAGACTCGACAGAGAATCGTGCTGAAACTGAACGTGAGTCGACTATCGTTCCGTCGCGACAAAAGTAAAACTTACTCCATTATCTCTGGTCGAGATGGCAAAATTATTGACAAGAAATCGCAACGAAAATTCCAGGTATTAATTATCAATTAATTAATCGTTGTGATTGCTTCAAAAATAAGCTTCGTTCGCTTTCTTGAATTGCTTTTGATAAATCTGCGTCCGGTATGTGTATTTCAAGCATACTGAGCGTAATTACTTACTATTACCAACATTTATCCTACATGCCTGCTTAAGTGTGCGTTGTCGACTGTTTCCGTTAACAATAAAGAGTTATATCCGGCTTATAAACGGAAACGACATATTCGTAATATTGATTTAGCGTGTTAATGACTCGTGCAATACAACGCGCAGTTCGCGCTATACTTGGCTCGATATACGATAACTCTAATTTAAGGGATACTAAATTCTACTTTTATTTGCTTCGACACAAAATTTTTTTTATCAAAGTTTTTAATGAATATTTATGTATATTATATATAATATATTACTCGATGCTATATAACTGTTTTATATTTAATAATTATAATATATAGTTACTATTAAATAATTGCTATTTTTATGTTACTCACCATATGCTCTACTGCTTTTTCCTCGAGCTCTGCTAACGTCCAATCTACATGAAAGCTCAAAGGTTGAAGGCGGGATTCCATTTCACGGAGCCATTTCCTCAAACATTTTACTTCATGTTCAAAATCTATAATGTAAATTTTCATTAAAAAAATTATAGACTTACAATTTTTGGATTTCCACATAAAATTAGGAAGTTTTTATTTTAACAAGAACATTACCTGCTGATATATCCTGCCGATTAGATACAGGCCGCTCAACAGGTGCCATAATTTGTTCAACTAATTCCCATTTTGCATTTAAATGATCAACACGCCACGCTACTTCATCTTTCAAAGCAGGGGCACGTGACACTAATTTTCCAGCCTGTTCATTAAACAACTTTCTTCTATATGCCCTACGTCGCAGCTCCTCCATGTGAGCCTTAAATTTATATTTTAAAATTAATTAATCTCTCATAAAAATCTCCCATAAAAAATATAGTGCTGTTTTTACATACCGCACGCAGACTTTTATCCAATAAATTTTCTTCTTTGCAGTAAACCAATTCTTGAAGAACCCTCAGCCACGAATATAATTCTGAAAATTGACTACTAACTTCTTTGAAACTCCATGATTGTGTAGATACATCAGTCTCATCCCATGTTAATTCACCATTAGCTTCCTATTAATGAGATATTGAAACATAAATATAATATACATCATATATACTTTATCTTATTACATTATAAATGTAACTATATCAAACACATACTCTACAACTATCTATCAAATTAGTGTCCATAATATAGTCATAGTTAGATCGTATTGCTGCCCAAAACTCATCTTTGCAATCCTCACGATTTGTCCATAAACGTTGATTGTGAAATTGCTTTGGATCTTTCCTACAATATAAACAGTAATATATTAACAGAATATTAACAGAATATATTACAAATAACGTAAATCAAAAGGAGACATTAATAACAGAAAATATAAAAGATTGTACAAACCTCTTTTTTGTGAGACTGTTGTATGGCCTTTCAATCGCTATCCCCACCTGGCCATGCTTTTCTAAACCATGGCCTAGTGGTTGAAGCGAAGATAAAGAAAAACTCATCTTCATGGTGTGGCAGTGGTCTATAATTTTAAAATAAAAACGGCATTTATTAATATTTAATATGCATAAACCACAGGAATTAATACATAATAACTATTAAGCATAAAATCCTAATTACACTTCATTAAATAAAATGATAATTCTTTAACCTTAAAGACATAAGAGTATACAAAACAGGATAGTATTAAGATAAATATTTACAATGTATACTTTAAATATAACATAAAAACAAGCCAAAATCAAGAATATTAAATATATTTCAGATGTTAATAAAAATTAATTGCATTTACATGCCCATTTTACATTATTCTGAATCGTGATAATACTGGGGAAAGTTTAATGAATGTAATATATAAACTATCTTTACATATCCTTCTTTATTTGTGAGTATGAAAATAGCTGTGCCCATTTGTGACTAAATTTACAAAGAAACAAGAAAGTTAAGAATATAACCTCCAGACTGCTATTCACAAAGATACTATTCTCTATTTCAAAACTGTCAGGTATCTTTCACATAATTTATCTACTACGTACTTACAAGATATTACATTTCACATACACGAAAATATAAAAAAATATCTGCGTCACCGAATTTTTTATACTATTCATTGAATTCTTGAATTACAAAAAAAATTCGTTCTCAATGCGTTAGACGCAACATGACGTATGTGTGTAATCTTTCTACCTGAATTATCTCGAACACATTAGTTAAATACACGTGCAGGTACACATTTGAAGGTGTTAATGTATACACACTGTATACATATACAATTCATACAGGTAGACCGTCCAAGTGTGTAATATATTTTATCAGAAATACAAGAGTTTCATTACGCTCCGGTTTAAGTTTTACAAGAGAGATAAGCACACGAAAGTACACAGTCGTTCAAACCGTCCATATACTCCACGAGAATACTCACTCATTCTTATCGTAAGCAGTTATGAAATAAAGTTAGCATTCTTTGAAATGGTTTCTGTTTAAACGTATTATTTAGCACCGTAAGGAAAAAAATGTGATTGAAGAAACCGGAGAACGTTGCAACGAGAACTCGAGTTGGAGGGGCTGCACTCCACTGCATACATTCAAGGCACAGCTTCTTGCCTTGCAAGTAAGTATGCAAACAATATAGCAATGTAAAGAAGATATCGATACACCTGACTAGAAGCATCGATCAAATGAATTTCACATAATGTTTATTTAATCTTATTTACTGTGTTATTTTATCATACCGTCAGCTCAGTTTCGATGCATCGATCGTAATATCGTATCGATATTTCCAGCCATGGTTTTTACATTCTTTCCCAAGGGAAACGTTACTGAAAACTTTTAGTAATGTTGCATTCATGCTCACTCACTCATATTACTCGTCGCAACGATGAATAGACAGGCGATCCATTTGGGCGCACTGTTAATTACTTGTCGATAACATTTGCAAAATTTTTAACCCAACGAGACCGCCAGTTTTTTTTTAACAAAATACCGCCTTACACACCACTCTGCACACCGACATGCACCAACGTGCACTGTCGTACTGCGCATGCGTGTTCGAGATAAGTGTAAAGAGCTCGACTCATGGCGGATTCTTAGTAAGATATCTATTCTTGTTGCCGGAATAAAGCGAGATGAACTGATGCGTAAGAAACTAAAATGGGATAGAATTAGGAGAGATATTCTCGTATTCGCAACAAGAAAGTTGAAATAGACACGATAAATTATTAGACAGAATACCATGCATTGCGTACGTGTCACGTGTGCATGTATTTTTAATGCCTACATATTTTCATCGAGTTTGTGTTGAACTATGACAAACGACACGTTTAAATTATTCGAATAAAGATTTTTTTGTATAAACAAAGTGTAGAAAAAATAAAAAATGCAAAACAATATGTCGTTAACCTACAACAGTTGAACAACATGAAATAAAATAAAACACATTGCGAAAGCAATATTTTTATAACATTCATTTTCTTACTTCTTTCGTTTGTGAAATTTCCATATTGTTTAACTCAGCTTCTTTTCATTGCAAATGATTTCATCATTTTTTCATACATTATGTAACGTCACAAATTATGCATGAAATAAATGAAACGTTAAACAGAATCCTTGTATATTTATTCATCAACACACGCTGACGATGCATGTAAACCACAAATTTCCGTGTTCTTATATTTCAACATATCTTTTCTTGGCATAACCGTAATCTTTCTATACAAACATATAAATTTATAACAACATACTTTGCAACTTTTACAGTTCTTTAATACCTCTAATATTTAAACATGTCTGAAGCGGTAGAACATTGAATACATAAATATCAAGTACTTTTTATTACTAAATATTAAAACTAATTGGAACTTTAAACAACTTAATAAGACTAATTTTTAAAAATTTTTTAAATAGATGCTCGATCTATTTTTCAATTTAACTTTGTGTAACAAACTACTCAATTCCAATTGAGTTCATGAAAATAATTAAACTCAGGAAAATGTAAAAAGGGCGGGTAAATGCATGAAACAATTGCAAATCAATTCGTTTATTTCGAATTGTACGTCATTGAAAAATCTCGACGAAGATCAGTTTAATATTCTTCGGCTCCCTCTCCCTCACCCTCTGCAGAATCCATACCAACCTCCTCGTAGTCCTTCTCCAAAGCGGCAAGATCTTCACGCGCTTCAGAAAACTCGCCTTCTTCCATACCCTCGCCGACATACCAGTGTACAAATGCTCTCTTGGCGTACATTAAGTCGAATTTATGGTCAAGACGAGCCCAAGCTTCTGCGATAGCAGTAGTATTGGACAACATGCAGACAGCTCGTTGTACTTTAGCAAGATCTCCACCTGGTACAACGGTAGGTGGCTGATAATTAATGCCGACTTTGAATCCAGTTGGACACCAATCGACAAACTGAATAGTACGTTTCGTCTTGATAGTTGCAATAGCTGCATTAACGTCTTTAGGTACAACATCTCCTCTGTACAGCATGCAGCACGCCATATACTTTCCGTGTCGTGGATCGCATTTAACCATCTGATTAGCCGGCTCGAAGCAAGCATTTGTGATTTCAGCTACGGAAAGCTGTTCGTGATACGCCTTCTCAGCAGAGATAACCGGGGCGTAAGTGACCAGTGGGAAATGAATTCTTGGATAAGGTACTAAGTTAGTCTGGAATTCCGTCAGATCAACGTTAAGAGCGCCATCGAAACGAAGCGAGGCAGTGATCGAAGATACAATTTGACCAATTAATCGGTTGAGATTTGTATATGTTGGTCTTTCGATGTCCAAATTTCGGCGACAGATATCGTAAATAGCCTCATTGTCGACCATAAATGCACAATCGGAATGTTCTAAAGTGGTATGGGTGGTGAGAATTGAATTATAGGGCTCGACTACAGCAGTGGAAACTTGCGGGGCTGGGTAAATAGCAAATTCCAGCTTTGACTTCTTTCCATAATCCACGGACAGACGTTCCATCAACAAAGATGTGAAACCAGAGCCAGTGCCACCTCCGAAAGAATGGAAAATGAGAAAACCTTGGAGTCCAGTACATTGATCTGCGAGTTTACGAATACGGTCTAGAACAAGGTCAACAATTTCTTTGCCAATTGTGTAGTGACCACGAGCATAATTGTTTGCTGCATCTTCTTTGCCTGTGATCAATTGTTCTGGATGGAAGAGCTGACGATAAGTGCCTGTACGAACCTCGTCTGCAATAAAAACATTACAAAGAATGTCACTTAATTCTCAAAATATGTATAAATAATAATTACATACCAACTACTGTAGGCTCTAAGTCAATGAAAACTGCTCTGGGAACATGTTTTCCTGCACCGGTTTCACTGAAGAAAGTATTGAAACTGTCATCACCTCCTCCAATGGTCTTGTCTGATGGCATCTGACCATCAGGCTGAATACCATGTTCCAGACAATATAATTCCCAGCAGGCATTACCAATTTGGACTCCAGCCTGGCCAACGTGGATTGAGATACATTCACGCTGAAAAAATTCAAATCAATTTAAATTGTAAGCTTGATTTATCAAATAATATTAATATATCTTTAAAAGTCTTTTTTCGTACGATTTATTAAAAATATTTTTTATCAGACCATAGAACGTATAATACTTAAGTTCAATAACATTTAAAATATTTCCTCTATAAATAATATTTGGCAGACATCATTTACGAACTATCGATCGCGTCACTTCAAACGACGCGTACTTCTCTCCTATTCGATAGACGCGAAACAACGAAATTCACAATTTTCACTTTTTTTATATCTACATTCCATGACCAATTTTGCAAATTATGCTTCATGCTGGCACAGTTATTGTATTTGGAGAATAAATATTTCGATATTTTAACGATATCTAGATGCTAAATATGAGTCATAACGGAAAGGGCGGAGCCGGCCGGTGCAAGCGTCGCAACCAAGTCGTCTTCCACGTATATCGCCATCGACGTAATCGATATTTCTCATATGTCTCTAATAAGCAAAATGTCTTAGACAAATGTGTACTTACCATTTTGAAGTCTAGGGATTCGTTTTACGTTCTTGTAGAAAGTGGGTAGTCGATAATTAGAGCAAGTAATGGAGCTTCTGCTATCAACCACACACAACACGTTCGAACACCAAACGATTAATGCGCGAGGGACGCTTACGACGGGATCTTATACCCTTGACTATCGACTCTTTTGGCGCACGGTCATTGGTCGCTAGTGACATCATCCACGTTTCTGATTGGTCAATGGAAGACCGCAGAACGCCACAACGCCTTTACGCATGTTTTCTAGTTCCAAGATATAGTACCCAGTCCCCTGTCATGCGACATTTATTTTATTGATTTTACAAATTTCAACGGGGCACAGCAAGGAAATTGGTACATAATGACCTGTTCATTGACTCGATAGCGATTGATTCTCAAGAAAATATTTATAATACTGGAAAGAACCAATTTACTCAAGTATGAAACGAATACATCGTAGAATACAGCTCAACCATCTTAACGATTATTTTTTGAACGTTTTAGCAAACTTTATTAAGTTTGTTAAAATATTACTAGATCATACATATATTAAACTTATTTTTAAAAATGACAGTCTCGTGTTATAACTAATTATGATAGAAAATATTGCAATTATTTGGATACAATTATTAGGAAACACGTCCTTTTTATTCGTTATACACATCACATATACACACATATATATACGATTATATACATATATGTATAATGTATAGTTTTGGTCTCATTATGCTACACGTTCGTATAGTGTTGTCCTCATCAAGTGTAATAAATAGGAGAACAAGTTAAAACACGTCAGACTGTAACGAAGGTAATTCTAATACCAATTACCATGTATTAAAATAGAACATTTTTTACATAAAGTTGTTATTGTAGAATTAAAAGATTAAATCTTGCAAACGATATAATTAATGCTTCACTGCATGATTGCAGTTATAACTAGCAATTTTATCGAAAACTACTTTCTATGAAAATTGGTCGAAGAGCAAGTATAACGTTGCGAATATTAACACAGTTATGAATCGATTTTCTCGATCATAGTGTGTCACGGAGAGATTGTCATCAGAATTTCACGTTACACATGTGGAGAGATGCACGAGAGAAAGTTGTTGTAAAGTATTACTCTCGCAACACAATATTGCAATTTTTTTTTTCGATATTGCTCTGTTAAAGAAGTATCCGATGTCACAAATAATTTTTTAAAATTTGTTATATATTTTGTTATTTTTAAATTTGCATTGTCACGTGATGAAGGATATTCCGCAAAGCAATGTAAAAAGACGCGACATTTATTCTTAGTTGCAAAACTACGGCGGTTGGATATGGGCGTTGAACTTGCCCATTGGTTAAGAATAGACATTGCGTCGCACAATTTCTATTCGGAAATTAACTCTATGTACAAATCTTTGAAAATAACGAAACTAGCCAAATGAAAATATTGCTTACTTAAAAATATTTGTAGCATCTGTTTAACAAAAACAAAAATTTTATCAATCGTTTAACCATTTAAAAAATAGATAGGTAACTAATCTTCTAATTGTAAACTTACATTTTAATTCATTGTATAAACTAAGAAACAAAAAGAAATATTGATTACCCGTGCAGTTACGTAAGTGGCCATATCCTGTTTAGTGGGATACCATTTCTGAGAATGAATCGATAATTTTCTAAAAATTAAAATACCAAAATGTATTACCAAAAATTCTCAAGATAAGATAGTAATATACTAACATATTGATTGTTTCGATCTGTTGAATTGGTATATATAGGTAGATGTTCTTTCATATGCAGAGATGGCAAGGAAGGATGAGAGTTGCCATGAGAGCGCGCTTGTGCCACTCGACCGTTCACTTTTTCTAAAATTGGTCACAGACGGCTGGATCTCGCGTAAAGAAAGCGGTAAATCGCAACGATCTTCGCTGGAGAAGTTTCGGAGTGGGGCATATAATATTGCATCTGGAAATAACTTATTTGTATGATGTGCACGTAAAACAATAATCGCGTTGCTCCTTCAGAGAACTCCAGAATTATTTTGTCGTTGTTCTTGAAAGTATAATAACGATTTTTCGAACCGTTATACAAGTTTTAAGTAACAACATGTAACTTGTGTCATGTTCATTGAAATTATTTGTAGTTAAAATGTCTGAAAGATTATTATTTCTTAACAAATTTTTACTCGATTTTATTGAATATTTTATATAAGATGAATCTCTGTTTTGTTATTTGTACGTTATTCTTACATATGAAAACTGATCTTCGATATTAACATAATCAATACCGGTACAACTCCACGATGATGTAATGTAACAGATCGACCACGCGCTTATTGTCCTTGCATTTGTAGCGATCTTGTTCTCCAAATATAGTTAGCCAGTGATCCAAGGTTTTTTAGCTTATACTTTATTTCTATTCACGTGAATAACTTTCTGATTGAAAATTTTTCAAGACATTTTCAAATTTTATATTTTCTTCGTATAAAATATTAAAAAGAAGCGGTCGATTAACAAAAATAGTTTGTATTTCGAACATAGAATTATCAAAGAACATTGTAGAACACTTACCTGAAGATATTTAATATTCTTCATTAATGACCAGTGTTGCTATATTTATCAATGACTGATCGTAAACTTATGACATTTAGTAACAGTTAATCATTGATTATTAAACTATTCAGTTACAATTCTAAATATCACTTCGTTAGGTTACTTTGCTGAAATAAATTCCATTATAAATGATTATTATTCAAGATCATATATGTAGGATCAAATAATATTTGATAGTCAATAGTATTTACCTTCCTTCATTATCTGATTCATCATTCATATTGAATGTGACTGCAGTGTCATTATCAGTTAAATGTGGTACATGGATAAAGGAAATCTATTCAGGTAGTGGACTGTTTTTTAATATAGAAGAAACGCTTGTATTAGATGTATATACTTGCTTAGTAATATATAGAGTGCCTATAACGTGTATTTCTGAGAACAAATAAATCACATATAATTTACAAAAAGGAACTTGACGCGGCGTTTAATATTGCTCTTATCGTCAGATAATAGATAAAGGTATTATTATCTATACGTGTGTCTTTAGGCGTATGAATTTTTCATTTGTTTTTCCTTTTCTTCCTGAAGGATCATTATGCGCGTACTCGCTCGTACATGTACACTTGCAAAAGAAATTCCAAGTTAGTCACATATCTTTTTAGTTGTATTTACGTACAAAGGTATTCTTCCAATTGATATAGGCCGTATTCATTGTGCAATGTAATTAAAAATAATATCAAAGTAAGAATATATCGTGTTTTCTTTCTTTTATATCTCTGTGCACCATCGTGAAAATCGGGCAGTGAATCACGTAGAAAAATTGCCAAAAATTTGGAAATTTAAGCATACTCGAACAACGATCGAACCTTTTGGCCATTAGAGAATAATCTTTTGCTCGGTATCATTTTCCTTAAACACGTACAACAGTGTACAAAGGACAATGTTTCGTATTGTTAGAAACACGAGTACTTCGATGAATTCGATAGGATACGTCCCTGATCTTAAATTTAATACGTTTTCTCACCGTTTAAACTGCAGTTTTAATATAAAGTGTCCAATACTCGAGTCGCAACTCCACCATGTATCAATATCTACGATATAATTATTAAAGATTTCTCTAGTTGCTCTATGCTGTACTTTCTGAATAAATTACCAGTGACATATTTTAATCAGATACTATTGTCTAGTTCATTAATTTAACATATGTCTATCAATGCGTCGATTGGCATCGTTGAAACCATATTATTCCGCAACAAATTACTGCGTCTGTTATTGCAGTTATTTGTGAATATCTCATTGCGAAACGCAGGCGAAAGTACAGAGTCTGAGAAACGTCTGAGAAATCCACCAATTCACACGATAGCGAGACATTTCATTTTTTTCGTCATCGATCCTATGACTACGATATAAAACGGCACGACGTCTACATCTAAACTTTATCTATGTACAATAAACGCTGGGCGAGATCCTCGCGAAAGCGCTTGATCAGTTTCGCTCGAGGTTCGCCACGACATCTCTCTATCGCTGATTCTTCAGGATCGATCAGCGCTATATCTAAATTTATATCTAGATTATTTCAAATATTTGCACGACTTGTCTGGAAGGTTTTCCATCGAACAGGTTCGAACGAAAAATTTCTTTTCATATTTTTCTCGTTTTCGTTCGACTCGAAACACGATCATTTTCTTTCGATATTCTTGCACGGCGACGTTACAATCGTTTATCCGCGTATATTTTAAGAAAACGTTTCGAAAAGTATCATTTTCATTTAAAAAAAAAAAAAAGAGGAAAAGGAAACAAAGGAAATGAAAAGAAGAGAATTCGAAAGAATTATACATAGTCGAGAGAAAACTCGAGAAATGATTGATTCATTTGGTACAGGGCAGTGTTTGAGAGAACAACTTCGATCAAAATTCAGGATCATGTTTGTTCCTCTCGTCGATTCTTTCTTTCTTTTCTTTTTTTTTCTTTTATGCCTTCTCATTGTATTGATATCGATTACTTAGAATAATTCCGTACACCGATGAAGATACTGTTCGATTAAATATTAGAAAATCACATCGGCAACACCGGATGGTGTGCTGTTTCGCCTTCCTTCTTGAACCTGCTGTTTCTCACTGGATGTTGAATTCATAGTAGTTAACAGTATAATGCGCTCTACCTAAACATACAATGGCACGATTGGCCTTGATTCTAGGCCGAATTTCAGGGTCGTACATCGCTAATCCAAATGGTTAAGCCGTTAACTAACGCCATCGCTGACGGAATAAATTATCCTTGATGCAGAGACACTCCTCGGGATTAACTCTGGGCAACGGTTGCTTCGTTCCCCCGTTAATCGTCAAATACAAATCTTCAAGTCCAGAGATCGATCATTATCGTTCGATAATAGTCGCCTCGTTTGAACGCGTAATTCATGACCAGAACAAGATTCACGGCCTCGACGATCGAGCAAGATTCACGACTGCCAAGGGCCACGGGTACTCCACCGAAACGCTTGAAACGTTTACTCGTCTTCACCTTGATCGTTATTCTGCAAGAGTGAACCGATGTGGAATCCGTAGCCCAATCGATTGGCGAGGCCTGTTACGGATCAGAGATTCTCCTCGTCCGCGTCCTCGTCCTCCGAACCTCCGTAATTTTCTCCGTTGTCCTGGTCAACCGCGACGAACAGCGCCATGAAACCTTTGTTCGATATCGTGTCGTCCGTTCTGAATCTTACTAGCAGCGCCTCGTTTATCGATATGAACTCGGTGGTGTTCTGAAACATAATGAATTTTATAGTAAAATTGGACACTGATACAGATGGTAGATCGCGTTCTAAAATCAATGTATAAAAGTAGCATAGATCTCCATATGTGAACACTATTTATTGAAACAAAATTTTATGAATTTGAATGTGAATTTCCATTATACGAATATTGTTACTACAGATGATGGACTTATATCGTATAAATTAGTTAGTAACTCAAGAGGTTCATATATGAAAATATAACTCACTTTTGCTTTACATCTTTTTTCTATCTCTAACAGTGTTAAAGATGTAGCTTGCCCTAGTTAAATGTGAATGTGATAGTCTCGAGAATATTGAGACTTTCACACAATGAAGCTAAACTTACGCTATTTCCACAATATCGTCCATAGAGAAGGCCGGACGTGTCCAAACCGGAGTAGATTTCAACGAAATCGTAATTACAGTCGCTTTCTGACTCCAATTGGAACGTGACAAACGTGAGATGTACATTTTTGCCGGGCGGTGCCTCGATCGCCCAATCGCAATCGGTCCTGTGATCGTAATTGTGGGTGCCGTACTTCGCGTGCGAGTACAAATGCTTCACCTCGGTCGTGGCAATCAAGTGGCCGCCGCAAGCTGTAGAACGAAATTAAGTGAACGAAATTGTACCTAACGCTCGAAATTACTTTCGATAATTTCATGAGATTAATTCCATTAAATGGACATTCCCAGAATTTATTGCGGGCGTAAAATGAAACACTACCGCGTTTCAGAAAGCATCGAGCAGCCTGATACTAACTTTAACTTAGTGAATTTAATTCATTAACTGTCAAGTCTTTTTTTTAAAATGTTTAACATAATTTTTTAGATTTTCATTGTTCTTCAATGGGAATGTATCGGGTTATACTTATCTTTTAACTGTGATATTACTCATGCGATTCTGATGAGTGAACGAGATTTTGCGAAAAAATCGCACGGAACACGAAAGGGTTCGTGCATTGAACGCAACATTTAAAGTATATATAGTAGAAATCTCATGGAAATAAATCACGCCCTTATATAACGAAGTTTTAAAATTGATGGCTCTCTTACCAGTACTGTGGGTTGCAAGGAAACCTTTCCTCTGGACGGAAGCGTCGCTCTTAAACACCATGTACATCTGATTTCCAGTTGCCAAGATTGGATGTGGCTCTTTGGTACCGCAAAATTTGCCCAGAACGTGACTATCCGGTGAATCGCCATCATAAATGGCGATATGATCGTAGTTGCATTCTTGATGGGATTCCATCTCGAAAACTTTGAAAATCTACAAGATTTCGAAATTACATCAAATTTATAAATTCCTATATCTAAATCGAATATCTGCCATTGATAGTTTCAAGTTCCGAACATTTCAGTTTGAAAATATATTATAGATTTCGATATTTTCATTTAAAATAATTTCAAATCATTCAAAGATCATTCATTTGCTCCGTGCGTTGTATAATTTTGTCTCACAATTTTCCCCTTATCTTACAATCTTTGTAATAATTATAGTTATTACATCTCGTTGTACAAATGTACAATATTTAAACGTTATACATAATCTGTACTTATTAATCTTCAATTTAAAGAATTTAAAAGTTACATATTCAAATATCTACATTTTGCAAAATTTCATTTGTAGATTTATTGCTTTACTATCATATTTCATCAATATTACATGAATTAAATGAATTATTCATAGCAATAATTGGTCGTCAGATTTTAAATTGGAACTAAATAGCTAATTAACTAGTAATCTTTTACAATCGTCTAAAATTTAAATTCAAAATTCATAATATCAGTTTGTATTTTCTTCCTTACCGAAAATTTACGTGTGATTCAATATTATAAGACATAAGAGGTGCAACTGAACAGCTTACAATTTCAAGAACAAGACCTCGCAGAACAATTAATAATCACGGAATGATAATAAACTTCTTAGGTACCAACTAATTACGTACTAAGATTAACGGCATGATAATAAACTTCTTCTAGGTACTAACTAATTTAATACGATGTCCTGGCTTGGTAACAAAGTGCCAGACGCAATCCTTGAGACCGGGATAATAGTCTGGATAGTTGGGCGATGTTATAGTACCCATTGGTGCGACGATTTCGTACTTGCAACCGCCTTCTTTGCAGTCGTGTCCATTTTCGTGAAGTGTGAAACCGTTATGACACGAACATTGATAAGAGCCTATTGTGTTCCTGCACTCGTGTTGGCAGCCGCCGTTGTTGTTTGAGCATTCGTCCATGTCCGTGAAGAAAACAGCGGCGAAACCGGTTTTCTGAATGCTGTAATCGCACAAAGTAAAGATCAGAAGAAGATACATTTAAAAAGAAAAAAAAAAAAAAAAAAAAAAATTAGGCATCTATGAGTTTGTATGTCAGCTCGCAACGTGGTTTATTAATTTATTAAATTTATTAATTTACCTATTGTCAGACGTGAAAGTCACTCTTAAGGAGTTCCCCTCTGAGATAATTAGCGATGGTAGCCTCGAGCCGCAGAAAATCCCATGTTTTCTCAAAAGATCGTCTCCAAGCTTGCTGCTCACTTCCACAGAATCGTACTCGCAATCCTGTTGACGAGCATTGTTCCCTTCTAAATCGAAATGCGTGAAATTCAGCGTGATACGGTACTGAGGTGGCGCTATAATTTCCCAGACGCAATCCTTGTTCCCCGGGTAAGTTACCGGAAACGAGGGGCTCGTGATAGTTCCGTTTTTATCCTCGAATACTCCGCCACAGGCATCTGACGGATGTAAATGCACGTTAATCGACATATGCGGATAAATCGAAATTCTAAGTTACCGCGGTTATAATATAATTAATGAGAGAAGAGCGGACGAAAAGACGAAGGAGAGATGAAAAATTTTCACAATTTACCTTCGCAGTGCTTCCCATCGGAGTGTAATTCGTAGCCAGGTTTGCAGGAACATTCGAATCCACCCAGAGTATTGATGCAATTATGTTCGCAGCCGTGCTCGATCAAAACACACTCGTCGAATTCTAGAGAATCGGTCAAAAGGATCGATTAAAACTCTCAGGGACAACTTCTCTTTTTCACTAGCTATTCTTTCTCATTTACTCTTCGCCGAGACCCTCTTCAAAATTCATTCACTACCACTACGAAGAGATTTATATTTCAACCCGGGATTACTAGCATAAGATAAAAGGATGAAGGGAATCCAATCGGCAGCCCCATTGAAGCCCGATCGAACGTGAAAACGGGACCGTACCTTTCATGAACGTCGCCGAGAACCCAGCCTTCTGCACCGAGCCGTCGCTAACGAACTTCACCAGAAGTTTGTTGCCGGTGGACTTAATGTCCGGCGGTATCTTGTAACCGCAGTAAACCCCGATCAACGGCGAGTCCGCGTTATGACCGTCCCGCACCTCCACGTAGTCGTACACGCAATTGTCGTGGTTCTCGATCTCGAACGACTGGAACTTCAACGCCACTTGGAAGTTCTGCGGCACGGACAACTTCCAGACGCACTCCTTGCTCGATTGGTAGCCCTCCGGGTAGTTGGGCGACTCCAAATGGCCAGTGTCCTCCACTTCGATCTCGCCGCCGCAAACGGCCTCGTAGCTCGCGGTGAATCCATGGTGGCCCGTTTGATGGCTCGATGTCACGTACGTAACCAGCATTCGACTTCCGGTCGACACCACCGGCTCGTGGATCTTCCCGCTTCCGCAGTATCGACCTGCGTTTCAATTTTCGTCTTTACATTTTTCGTAGATTACGAGAGGTTTCGACGACGTTATTGCTGACGTGAGTTATTTCCGATATTGCACTCTCCGATGATTAAGAGTCACAGCGGTGAAAAGTTGTGTCCAGAGTTTTATTATTATAAGAAATCGTTATTGCCATGGCAAACTAGAGGAACGAATACTTGTGAGTATTGAAGCACGTTGCCGCTCAAAAGTACATGTGTGGGAGTATTGTTCATGAAATTTGCGACAGATTTACAGGATAAATTCTAAACTATTGTTATTGATAATTGAATAAATTAATTATTCAAATTCGTAAATAAATAAATGTTTGTCTATTTTACAGTTATTGCGCGTTGTGTCAATGTTGAACATGGAGATCGTCTTGTCACAGTACGGATTTCAATATGACTTTTATAGAAAATGAACATTGATAATATTTTAAAAGAGGGAAACATACTATAACTTGTAAGCACACACGATGGTAATCCAGGTGAACGTGAGACGAAGACGTAAGATTATTATTTGTGAGATATTTAATAATTTATTGGCACAATAATGTTTTCTAACATGGAATACAAACTAGAATACAAAAATTCAAATTTATCTTAGATTTTCAAGTAGATATAAGAACGAAAAAAAAGTATCTACATATATATATTTTTAAGTGGCACTAAGTGGGTACTAGATACGCATGTGATTAAATTCAAATTCTCAGAATCCTGATTTACTTAGTTATATTATAATTTTCAGCTTGTTCACATATCGTGGTAATTAAACTTGGCCATGAAAATTACAAAAACTCATTTGTTGAGCAATCAAGAGATACTCAGGGTAATAAATTTCTCTAAGTTGTAACATTTACTATTAGCTCTTCATTTATCTCCTAGAATTCATTTGGCTCGAGAATAATCGTGTGTGATAATATTGGAACATCGGTTACTCCATAAACCCAATTCTACGATGTACCCTTCCTCTGTTCAATAGTTTCATATTCGACTCGCCTTAAAACCCGAAATCCAATCAAGTAAAATACGATATTCATATTGACCGTGTAGCAGAACCATAAAGGATCATGCAAATTCTACACGGCATCGGCAAACTAAATCCTTCGATAAATCATTGCTTCGAACGAAACCAACCATTGTCCTCTTTGCTTTAAGAAGAAGAAAAAAAAAAGAGTCATTTTCCACTTGTTAATTATCACCGTGCAAAAAAAAAAAAAAAAAAAAGGATTGTAGATACATTCGTAAATAGGATTTGCCATGGAAACATCGGAATAAGGCCAACAGAAATTTTCTTGGCTGCGGTGGATGCAATATTCGTGATATATACACCACGATACAGTCGGGTCCGCGGGGATAAGTATAAATTTCCCGTGTTTCGCGTGTTTCCGGGTTCGTTATCACCCGTTTTACTTACCCAACACGTTGCTTTTGAACCAGTATCCGTCCCTAATCTCCAAGTAGTCGCTGCGACAAAAATTGCTCTTAAATATGTCGAGCGACGTGATGTTCAGAACTATCCGCTCGCCGTGAGTCGCCGTGATCCTCCATTCGCATCGTTCTCCCTCCACCGGTGGCGAATTGTTCGGATGGATCGGCGATCCAAAACTTCCGCTATTCTCTTGAAACGTTCTGCCACATCCTGCGAGAAATCGATTGAAATATCGGTAAATTGAACGAAGGTCAGTCTCGGCAGAGACTTTTTAAGCAAAGTAAAAAAAAGTTAAATTAGTAATTAATCATAAATCAATGAAATAAAGAGCTACGGTATCTTAGAAAAAAATATACTACAGGTAACCACATACGTAATAACAATCTATACTACATAGATAGAAAAATATATATTACACAGATAATTATAATGATTCGAACTACATATCGAATAATATAATTATTTATCAATCGCTCGATGACGAAAATGACCATGCTTTTGCAAAGGCTAGTGCTATTTTTAGCAACTTACTGTAGCATCTGTAGAGAAGGTTCGTCTGGGCGATATCGCCCTCGCTGAGCCGGAGCCTCTGGCCAATTTCAGGCCGCTTTTTCCCATGAACCTCCATCGGCAGGATCGTGTCCAAGTACGTCCCTCTCGAAAACGTGTTCTTCGCGTAGTGCATGATGGAGTCGTAGTCGTACGGCAGGCCGAGAGAGTTCACTTCCTCCTCCGTCAGTTTGTTGAAATTGTACTCCTGACCTACAGAGAAATTTTTGAGAGAGAGAGTTTCGCAAAACGTTCAAACATCACAGAACGTACGTACGTACATATGTACAGAACCACTGTCTCTGATAACATTCGTACGTTCTCGCGTGTCCGTTGTTCGAATCGCGTATCATAGCGAGCACGCAAACGTTCGGAGTACATACGCGTTTCGCCTCGCCATCCAAATTAACCACTTCGGATCGGCAAACATTCGACGCTCACGGCAACGGGTGTTCGCGTCAGGTAACCCTTTCTGCGTAGCTATAGTTCGGCAACTCGACGTGCCATCGAAGAAACAAAGCCGATCGATATCCATCGGCTATCCAGCTGCTTCCAAAGCGGCGTTCGACATTGTCAATGTCGACGTTTCCGGTACACACGTACGAAGTCCACCCCCCCCCCCCCTCATCCCCCGAAACGATTGTCGCCGCACGGGACGACATTCCGCGTTTCGACACAGGCTCGACTATTATTCAATCGCGCAGCCGGCGTTTCGATCGGTGTTTGATCATCGGGAAGCGGGGCAGCAACCTTAACGCGAAACCGCAACAGCGGCACGCGCGCGTTCCTCTTCCATGCGTGCAATTTCGCGTTTGCTTTTGTCTCTCGGTGTGGGCCCTGTGGGCTCCCTGTCGGCGTCCCGGCCTCAAGGTGAAATTTCGTCGCGCAAACAGCTGACGCCTCCACCCTAATTAAACAGCTCGTTACCATTTCTGTTATGAGTATCCATTAATCGGGATGCGGTTTGTCACGTGTAAATATTAGAATCGGCCCGCCCCGCCGATTAGTTGTCATTGCTAGTGATTGGTGAGACCTGGCCCGGCAAATTGGCCCATTAATCTGTAACGGATACCAAACTTTCGTCCATTGGGCGAAGGCAAACGACCGTTTCCTACTTGCGACGGAAATCGAGATCGAGGCACGCACTCCTCCTGCCCGGATCCTTCTCACGTTCACCAAACATCGGTGACTGGTAACGACGGTCAAACTGTTCGCGAAACGACGTTGCTCCAGCGCTTTGATTCGACACGATTCGAAGTACGTTCACGTTCCTCTGACCGTTTTTTTAGTGACCATTTGAAAAAAATCGTCGTGGACAGGTGCCACGCGAGAAATACCAACGGTAAAAAACCTCTGCCGTTTATTTACGCACGTTTAAGTTTAAGTACCAGAATAGTCCTTTAATTGAAAACAGTAAGTAATTAGGACAAGAAGCTTCAATATGCTGTTAATCGAAAACCGAGGCCATTATGCATTTCGAACAACGCGATCGCGCCGCATTGCACTGATATGGCTAATGATCGTAGAAATGAAAACATCCTGCGTGTTCGCTATGCGTTCTCGGAGATCTTGGTTCGGCTACATGAAAGTAGAATTGTTCCTTTTATTTTCTATTTTTATTTGAACTGTATATTTTGTTCGGATGAGTAAGAAAGACAGCCGATAGAATTGGTGGAGAAATTTCACTTACCAGACATGATATTGTCACGGATGATCTGCACATGACGGTCGCGATCCGGCCTCGTGTGCTCGTGCCAGAAACCGACCACGTGGCCCAATTCGTGAACCACTATACCGAACTTGTCGCAGTTCTTCCCGATACTTATTGCCTGCGGACCGTTCCCTCGTTTCCCGACGAACGAGCAGCATCTGCGAAGTTGTTTCAAAAGCGAAATGAAAGAAATTCCGTGCGAATAGGTGGTCGTGGACTGGTATATTACGAAGGAAACTGTCTTTTCTATTACATTCTCCCGCACATAAAAGGAAATGTCCTTTTAACACGAATCATACGCACATATACGATAATATCCAAGGTAAGTTACTTTAACAGTAGAATTCAGAAATCAGAATTGCTGAATGTTACGAAGAGTGAGGGTTTTTTTTTTCAAAAAACAAGTAGAATGTTCGAACGTTGTGTACTATTCAAAAATTCTTTTATCTAAATAGTATATTTACTAACTAAGAGATTTTTGTACGTATAACTATAGTACGTATAACTAGAAGCTCGACAATTTTTGTTCTCTCTGTTATTTAATTTAATTTTGACAACTATCTATTATTTTTCATGTAGGATATACTTCAGATAATTATATTTAATCAGAAAAATATAGCTAATTGAGCAGAGTTCTACTGTATCATTACATCCCAAGAGATTTAATTCTGTGATAAAATTTTTCGCAGATTGAAGCGGTAAGAAAAAAAGAAAATAATGAAAATGAACCCTGTATTGTAATTCAAGGAATTTGGAAAAGGGTTTCTCGATGATACGAAGCATAAAAAAAAAAAATGAGAGATAAGTGAATTCCTCAATATCGAAGTAGATCGAACAATTTTCTTAATCTCCATTTGGATACGTGTAATTTAATATCAGAAAAGTTACCCGAAAATTTGATTAACCGAACATTTTTGTCCACCTATGGGAGTCTTCGCTGTATTTAAAAATTCTCTTCTTCTTTTTATTCGCGAAACTCACCCGCACGGCCTTTCCGTGAAGAGTATGTAATTTGGATGCTCCTGAGGTACCCTCTCGACGAACTTGACGCAAGTGAAGTTTTCCCAGTGTCTCATGGCTTGCTTGAACAGGGCCTTATGAGCGCCGGAAAAATTCCCATCGATCTCGTACGGGATCACCCCGTGATCCCATACACGTTCCTTGCGTGCAGTCGCGGCTCTTCGCGTCCTCCCCGAAAATCTGTGTCTTGTGGTGCCACGTTTGTTTGCCAAATACTTTGGTTTATGCTCCATGTCGTAGAACTCTATCGAACGTAGCTGCCGATCGTGCAACGACAGTACCTCGTCGGAAGTGTCGTCGAAGTCTCGTCTGATTAGGGGAATCTTGCGAACTCGATGCCTTCTTCTTGTTCCTCTGCAAATAAATATGTCCGTTCGTTTAATCCTTTTTTAAAACGCTGTCGCGGTAGCCGCTGTGCGTACATGACTTTAGTCACTTAAATATTAGTAGAAATATTAATATAATAAAATAAATGTAAATATAATAAAATGATATATAAATAAAATATAATAATAAAATAATAAAATAAAATATAAATAAAATATGACAATAAAATATAAATATAATAATATAATAATAAAGTAATAAAGTAAAATATAAATAAAATATGATAATAAAATAATAAAATAAAATATAAATAGCAACTTTTAAATAAACGAAGCCAATACTATCTAATTTTAAATTAATAATTGTATTATGTATCGACGTCATTACAAATCTCTATAAATTCGAACTATTAAAAATCCATTTAATAACAGAAGACGACGCTTTTGTTGTAATATAATGTAAAATAATATATAAAAATTATATATTCTTGTAATATATGTAATTAATAATAACACATAATAATAATGTAATATAAATAATTAATAATAATTAACAGCAATTTATATAATGATAATTCCAATCGTTTCTGTATAAATAATGCTTATTCACAATTGTGAAATGCGTGCTTATAAATTTTTACTCAAAATATCCCATCAGTAATAATTAATATTAATTTTCTCCGTATTCCTTCGTTCAATTCTTTTTTCCTTTTTAAACAATTCAAATGCTCTTTTTTTTTGTAAAAATTTTCTATAAAAATTTTGTAACAATACTTTTAAAACTTTACATTAATATTTCATTTTCGCCTCTTGTTAATTTCTACTGTAATTAATCGTAATTTTAAACTTCATTTATTCATTGATCATCACATCCTCCCAAGTACTTAACAAAATTTCTACATAACAATAATTGATCCAGAAATAAGGCGAACACAATAAAATCAGAATCGTTCAATTTAATAAGGAAATAAGGCACGAGTGAGAGGTATTTATATCGCTTATTTCCCGGTTGAAGCCGCTTAAAGAGAAGCGCCTAAAACGACCGTAAAGCGGCCCGTCGAAATTTTCGTTCTCGGCTCAATTTTCGTCTTAGTCGCATTCTTCCCCCGTTATTCCATATTCGCCGAAACATCGTACGTCGCCGTCAAGGGTAAGAGATTCCCCGGTTAATCTCCCCCGCTTCTTCCTCTTTACGATCTCTTAGCGTTATTTACGCGACGCGAGGTCTGGTTTCTTCACTCTTTCTCTCTCTCTCTCTCTCTCCCCTTTCGAGAGAAAAAAGCCGGGGTTTCGAGGTTGACGGGCAAAACGAACGTCGTAAAGGGAAAGAAAGAAGAGGGGGGGAAAAAAGAACGGAGAAAGAAGAAAGTAAAAGGGAGAAAAACGAAATATGAAACACCGGAAAATTTACTCACAAGAGGCGTTGAACGTGCCTCGGGACTCGTTAAAAAACCGTAAGACCGGAAAATTTACGGCGCAAAGCGGCAACCATCGAATGTTTAACGTTACCGGGACGACACCGGTCTCTTTAAAGGTGAAAGCCTGCCGCTTATCGCTTATCAACATCCTATTAGCGGAAATATCGGCCGTTATTGTCGATGTTTCGCGAGCTACCCTTATTGTCTTGTAAATAGCGACTTTCATTGGTGCTGCGCCGCGTCATAAAACGGCCAGACGCGATGGCACGATCAACATCGGTCACCGGGCTGTTGACGAAGTAAATAACCGGACGGATAATCGAGCCGATGTTGCGCAACAATCATCTCCCGGCACCCGATACCCGAGCAAATAGTTTATGGCCACGCGGCGAATCGCTATGACCGTATCGCCGCGTTTGAAAGAACTCGCGCGATCGTTTTATAACGAGACGACGGAGAAAAGGGTGGGAAACGAGACGAAACGACGAGAAACGAGGGCGAAGTTGTGGCAAAAACAGGTGTTTCGTGGTTATAAAAATGGCCGCGAAACGCGGCATTAAAGCGAGCCGTTGCATCGCGAATTGAATGTAGCCGGGCTCTTTTTTTCCTTTTTTTTCTTTCTACGATATCGGATGAAATTGCCACCGGGCTGGCACAAACACGTTTTTTTAGAGGCTCTTCGGCCGCGCGGCCTCCGCGGACACCCCTTTATCGGTCGGGGAAAAAGCAATCGTGGCTAACGAACTGACCGGCCAAGTGTCCAATTCCAACTTTGATGAAACGTGTATTTATGTGCAGCGCGCCTGTTGGACTTTCGCTCGGGAAAAAGTCCCCGCACGGTTTACAATAGAGGCGAGAATTAAAAACAAGGATTTTTGGTAATAATAAAGACGAATTTCCTTAAGCACTCCTCTGTGCACATATAGGATAGAAAGATGGAAAGTGGAAAATATTTACAGGATTATAAATTAAGAAATATATGAAGACAAAATATATTCCAAATTGTAAAATATATTATATTATATATAGTTGTAAAATACATTCTTGAGAAACATAGTTGTAAAATATATACTTGGGAAACATAGAAAAGTCAATTGAGGCTTACTTTTTATGTTGTAAATGATTTAATCTTACGCTGAAAATTTGTTAGTTGATAAGCTTTTCACTCGCGCTTCACTTTGAGAAAAACGTAAAGAGTGATAAAATATAATTTCGTTGATTTTCTAATTTTAATGTCAGTGGAAAATATTTACAGGTTTATAAATTAAGAAATATATGAAGACAAAATATACTCCAAATTGTAAAATATATTATATTATATATAGTTGTAAAATACATTCTTGAGAAACATAGTTGTAAAATATATACTTGGGAAACATAGAAAAGTCAATTGAGGCTTATTTTTTATGTTGTAAATGATTTAATCTTACGCTGAAAATTTGTTAGTTGATAAGCTTTTCACTCGTGCTTCACTTTGAGAAAAACGTAGAGTGATAAAATATAATTTTCGTTGATTTTCTAATTTTAATGTCACTTTTTACTTAAACAGGGAAATTGAACAAATAGTACCTATCAAGTTGTAACAAAGATGTAATCCTCGTACAGCGAGGGATACTGGCACCATTTACCTTTATTAAATATTTTTGCTCTTCTATCTAGTTTTATTATTATGTAGCAATAATTACAAGGAATGCATTTATACTATGTAAAGTAGTATCTCGTCAGTTGCCAGCGCAAGTAGTTGATTAATTTCACTCATCCACCTTGAAATGGCGAATACAAAGTATAATACTCTCCGTGCAGATAAAATAAATAGACATCGGATGTAAATATGTAGAATCTGTACAGAAATGTGATACGGATTTTAATCAGTTTTGCGGATAACTGTGATGAGGGATAGATAATAGAAAACACTCGGTTCCATGGGCACGATAAGCCTGGTATTGTAAAACTGGATGCCAAGGATTTCGTGTTACGAAACTCAATACGAAACTTTCTTGTCAAGCGAGGCTCGATACTCGAGGCCGCGGGGATGCCGTACGAGTGACATCCAGAATCTCGAAGCCGGCGGGCCCTCGATATCGAGACGACTCCACACTCTCGCGAGACACGATATCAGAAATTTTCAAGGAACCGAGCTTTAAAGATATGAGACTCGATAGAGGGGTGGAATCTTCCGCGAATCGAAGAGACACGACGCTCGAATTCTAGAACTCGGTCAAAACGGCTCGTGAAAACAGGATTCTGCGAAGTATCCTCTCCTGAAATTCTGATGAAACGTGCAAAAACAAGTTTGAAATTAAATATAAAAGTCTTGAGAAGCAGCTTCCATTTTAATGAAAAAGACAAGTCGAAACTTTACACTGGGATTCCTTTTCACACGCTTGGTTGTTTTGTGACCAATTGGCATTTTATGCGTGGTTGTGCATATTGGAATAAAGGGGGGGACTTCTCGACAGAGTGAAGAAAGAAAAAGAAGAAAAGAAAAGAAAATAGAGACGTCCCTACATTCACGTTCGTTTCTGTTTTCATAATACAAGGACACGTAGTAAAATCCTTCGGCAAATATCTCACAGGCGCAGGACGATGTACTGCATGCATATTCATTTGTAGAAACGAGACAGTCCTGAAAAAACTTTAAGCCACTGGTTTGAGGTACTCTTTGCATGAGCCGGTTTCTACACGGATTCTATTGATTCTATTTATCTTCTCGAAACATCGCTAGTCAATATTTAACCATTGAGCATTTCATTCTTTCAACTGTTTATTATTTTCAACTCCTAATACTAGTTGGATTATAGATGACACTGAGCGCGATACAAAACATTTTAAATCTTGATAAAGTAAGTAAATAAAATAAGTAAAATCTAGTATAAAATTGATTCTAGCATTAAAATGATTTAAATAAGAAAATTTATTTGTCGATAAAAAATGCATGAAACTTAAAAATTTTGAATAAAATGCTTTCTTGATGTTAGTATAATCTCTCATTTTCATTAATATTGTTGAATCATGAACAATCGTAGTAATATATGTTAGATAACTGAAATTTAAGATATTTGACTTTCGAAAGAGACTGGTAATAAAATTCAATCAAATTAAAAATTCTAAAACTAATAAAATAATAATAAATAATCTAACTCTAAATTTTTATGGTTGCCAATGGCCCAATATCATTTAAGAATTATTAATATAACAGAATTGTTTCATGATACACTTTTTACTAAAAAAAAAAAAAATAGAACATCTTTAACAAATATTTAGTAAAAATTTCAATCCAGTAACTTCACGTTAAATTTTCTCCAATAAAAGTGCATTAAATGTGGTTCGTTAAACTCGGATTCCTTTCGATCCAACAAAATTCACGATCATACCGGTTTGAAAAATCAGAGCCAATCCCTCAAAAATATCGCTCGCCTCACCGTCGCGTCGCGATGTAAAATTACCAATCGAATTAGCAATTAACGAAACAATTGCCAGCAAAAATCAAATCATCCCCGGTTGGCGGGCTACGGCCCCCTCCAGTCCGTGTCCAAACTATTAAATTACCTCATCCCCGAAAATTCAATTCCTCGCGTAATCCTATATCAGGGAATCCGGCAAAAAATAA